TATAGTATAATATTAGTATATAATTACAGTATAGTATAATAATAATTATTATTATTATATATTATCATCATCATATTATATATATTATTATATTATCATCATATTATATATATTATTATATTATTATCAAATTATATATATGTTATTATTATATTATTGTTATTATTATATATTGTCTTTTACCACAACCCATAACTGTTAATTAACACTAGATTTACGGAGCACAAAAAACAGCTGTTTTATATTAGTTTATAAAACTAACAACAACGTAGTCGGAAAAACTATTTGAAATTCTGCGTCAATTCAGCTTCGAGCGCAAAGGGTTAAAGTTTCCAAATGAACATTCTATATAGATATGTTATTTTACCTACATGACTGCGTACAAAGTTGAAATCAAAATACCCTAAAAACGAAAGCCCATTACGAAAAAGCCTATCAAGGTATTCTGACATTAGGCATGCGCCGTAACTTTAACCCGTTCCCGTTTCAGAAGCGATCTCCACGATCGTAAACTCCCCTCGCGAGTCCTACAACTTTGGCAGTAAATACCTTTTGAAGGAAGCATTTGCGAGCGTACAAGCTTTGTTTGTTTTACGGTCTTGAATTCATATCCGAAGTTCCTCGGTTTAATCCCGAGACACTCTGTACAATACGAAAACAGTTATCCGTCGATTTCATTTCCGCGAATCATCAAAATTATACACCGTGCTGTCTTCCTGTCGCGAAGCGCACCCAAACCAGCCAGTGGACTCTCTTCTATCCGATCGAGCCATGCAACTTACCACACTGTTCCATATTATTAAAGTGTTCGATTTTGTTATTTGCTCTGAATTTCGTAAGGATACGAATTCAACAAAATAATATATTAATATATATTATTATTATATTATATATTTATATATATATTATTATTATTATTATTATATATATATATTATATATATATATTATTATTATATATATATTTGAACTCGTACAAGAAAAGTAGATGTAAATCGTGTTTTGTTTCCATCTAGTTTCTGAGAAAAATAATATAAAAATGGGATACAAACGCGAAAAAATGTTACGAAATGAGTAAGAAGAATACCTTTAAAATTTATCAATAAAAATAGCGCACGTTACAATGAACCTCTCTCAGTCGCAACTGAACACAAACTAAACAGAAACGTCCGTTTCATAGTTTCCAACCTAATAGAAGACCATCCCTAGCACTTTCAACCCTCGCGAATATTGAAAATACGAGCGTCAATAAACGGCGAACATATTTTCAGCATATTTCCATGAAATAAACAGCTCTTGAAAAAAGATATGCAGTTTTATATACAGGACGTCCCAAAATAATGGTATTTCCGAGAAATGAGAGGTTCCTGAGGTAATTTCGAGTAACTTTTTCCTTAGCGAAAATGCAATCCGCGGCTTCGTTAACGAGTTATTAACGAAAACCCGTGACCAATAAGAGGCTAGCTCGGTAGGCGCAATGCGGTCGAGCCAGCCGTTCGCCCCGCGCCAACTGATCTCGCCTCTCATTGGCTACTGTTTTTCGCTAATAACTCGTGAACGGAACCGCGGATTGCATTTTCGCTAAGGAAAAAGTTACTTCAAATGATCTCAGGAACCCTTCGTTTCCCGGAAATACCATAATTATATGGTATTATACCATAATTTCGGGACATGCTGTATATTCACTTAAAAATCCGACGTTTCACACGCACCAACCTAACACAATCTCCCAAAAGATCTGTCTCGGCTTCTCCGTCGAAACCAAGCAATAACTCGACAATCGCACCGCTTCGTTGACCTTGAGCCACCGAATCGCTCGGCGACAGGCTACGGCCCAGCACAATGGTGTCCCAAGCGCAGTAAATGACACGGAATATGGAGTTGCGCGGAACTGAAGCGTGTCCGAAACTGTTCATTGTATCCCGGTTGTCTGCAAGCGGGCTCGGTCGCGAGGCAAAAGAGAAGATACGTGCACGCGATACGCGGGTGGGCGTATTTAAACTAGCCTGGACAGAGGCGAGGCATAGAGAGAGAGAGAGAGAGAGAGAGAGAGAGAGAGAGAAAGAGAGAGTGAGAGAAAGAGAGAGAGAGAGGGTAAGAGTGAGAGAGAAAGGAGGGAGGAGAGAAACCCTCGCAGCAGTTCATGATGTAGTCCGCGGCTGGCGTGATAGCAATGTTTCCCAGCGTGTTGTGCCGGGCTGGTACATCTGTTAGGAAAGTGTGGTCGCGTTAACGGGCCTCCTGCGCGTCGCGTAGTAGGCGGATACGTGGCTGGAGGTCGATTGTGGCTATTTCTGCTTGTGCACGCGAGCGATGGTAGGACGATCGCTTTATCAGTGGCGGTTCTCGCCCTCTCTCTCTCTCTCTCTCTCTCTCTTCCTCTCTCGTTCTCTCTCTCTCTCTCTGTCTTCCTCTCTCGTTCTCTCTCTCTCTCTCTCTTTCTCTCTCTCTCTCTCTCTCTTTCTCTCTCTCTCCGCGCCTCTGTTCCCCTCGCCGCGACTCCTCCGCGGCGTTGAATGCCGGTTAAAAGCGCGAAAACGGGACATTTATTTCGGGAAATCGAGCCGGCCGCGCGCACCGCGAGCGAAAGAGCGAACGCGCGAAAGAGCGAGCGGCGACGACGATTATTAACTCCGGGCGTAATGGGACGCTCGCCCCGGCAGGAAATTGAAAAACACGACCGAGAGGACAAGAGGGCCTCCGGCTCTCTCTCGGTAGCAAGCGCGCGGGTACGAGCGCACAACCGCGCGCAGCTTGGTCGGCATCCAATTCTTTCGGCGGCGGTGGTAGCAGCAGCAACGGCGGACCCCCGGCCGCCCGGGGAGACGGGAATTCACGCTGTTTACGCAAAAAGCTTCCGTCGTATTCCACTTCTGGGTGGCTCGAGGGGGATAAACAATGCCCGCGCGTTGTTCCAGTTTACGGGAATACTTGCACGCCGGATGCTTGACCCCGGGGACGCCGCGTCAGTTACAGATCCTGCGAAACGAGATCGCGCTCCCCCCGAGCATACACTTTTCTAAATGAATTCTTTAGACGGACCGCATTCACCCCGGACAGAGATGAGGAATTGGAATGAGCTCGGCTACCGGTCCCGGCGATCACCTTTATTTCATTGCTCTTCCGTTCTCCATTTAAACGTCCGCCGTTTCCTGCGAGCTTCTCGTCCAAACGCCGGATCTTGCACCTACCGCGGCCAGATAAAAGCGAGGCGGTCTTCGCCACGATTCTTTCGAGATAATTGAGCCGTTTATTTTGAAAGTGGCATGAGAGTAACTTTTTTTTGTTTTTTGTTTTTTTTTAATGGAAAGATACCGTTCAGTTGTAATTAGTGTTAGCATTAACTCGATTTTTTTGAAAAAGTGACTTATGCCCCTTTCAATATAAACGGCTCGATTCTTTTCGAAACTGCTGCGGCTGCTTGACCGGTGGTCGGGCAACACGGGTGAATATTTTCGGCGGTTGTAATTTGATAGATTGTGCGAGAGACGCGCGCCGGCAAAATTTTTGTCAAGATTCAAGAAATTTGTCACAATTTGTTCAGATTTTTCGGTTGCAATTTGTGGTTATCAAAAATGAAAATCCAAAAAAAATCAGAAAATTGAAGATTTCTCGAAAACAGAGAATTATACTTTTTTCATATTAATTCTTTGATAAGGTACTATCACAAGCAGCGCACTCAATTTTTCTCAGATTTTTCGTAGAACTGCATCATTATAAAATAAAATGAAAACCGAATTCATCGACGTTTTTGCTGCGAGAAAGACTACTTGTTGGGTTTACCGCAAGCGTAGATTAAGTAATTTTAAGCGTTATTGCACTGAAACAAGTAATTTTTTAACCTGTGAAACGTGATTCAAGAGAAAGAAGAAATTCTGAATCCTAACAACAATTCCGTTTCCATTGTCTGAATCTTCGCTGTCATTTGATTCTGGCTCACTAACATTCGACAGGTTATCGGCGTATATCTTGTCGATGCTTTCACTCATTTTCGAAGAATTGTATATACAGGGTGTCCCAAAAATGTCTCGCAATCCGAAAAGTGGTGATTCCTGAGGTCATTCGAAGCAACTTTTTCCTTTATAAAAATCTTCCCCGAGGCATCGTTTACGAGTTATTAACGAAAGGACAGCGACCGATGAGATGCGAGCTCTGCTTGCGCGAGCCGGTTCAGCCAGCGAGCGCGCAAAGCCCAGTTCCGCCCATAGGCTCGGCCGCCTAGCGCTGAGCGAGCTGGCTTCTCATTGGTCACTGTTTTTCGTGAATAACTCGCAAACGAAGCCGCGGATTGCATTTTCGCTAAGGAAAAAGTTACTCCAAATGAGCTCAGGAATCTCCATTTCCGGATTGCGAGACGTTTTGGGACACCGTGTATATGTAAATATAGACAAGACAGATATATAGTAAATAGATAAATATATAACATAGACACATAGATATATAGTATATATAAATAGATAATAGTAGATACTAAATAGACAAACAACGAGCAAATAATAAACAACCGAAGCTCTGCAACGATTCGAACACGCGAACTCAGTCGGTAATTAGCGATTGCGTGAACTCGCGTATACGTGTGTCCAGCCGTGAAGGTGTTGAGCCACCACGGTCCAGGTCTCTGCGCACACACCATCCCCAACAATTACCCCTTTCACGAGGTGTCGGGTAAAAGTGTCGCGGCCAATCGCTGCGCGGCCGCTCTATTATTCCGTATATGGCGTCCGCGGTGAAAGGGTGAGGACATTAGGGTGTAGACCGCGCGTAGAGCGTGGAAAAGGGAGCACCGCGGTAGCTTGCTCCTAAGACAGCCCAGATCTATGTAAGATCGCGCGAGGCCGCGTCTAAGATACATGATATCGCAGGATCTCGGCGCGCCATGCGGAGCCTTAATTGCCAAGTAAGGGGCAATTAGCCCGGCGGTGTAGCAGCGGCGAAGGAGAGGGGGGGGGGCGGCGAACGGAGGGCTGACATCTAATCGGATCCCGGTAATCTCTGTGACAGGCTTGCCACCGCACCAGATGGACGAGGCTCGAGGGAGGATAGCAGAACGATAGGAGGCGACCGGTTGCGGCTGCAGCTGCGGCGTCGGTCGCTGCACCTGCAGCTGCAGCTGCGGCGACAGCGACGGCGACGGCGGCGACGCTGCCGGTAGCACCGGTTTGATCAGACCGTGGAGGAACGATGCAGGCCACCGGCGACTACTATCAGAGGGCTAGATGCTGTCCCGGAAGGAATGCGAACGCGAGCGCCGAGGCGCTGCGGCTCAGCACGTCCGTCAGGGGCGCGGAGCTGCTCTGCTGTTGCTGCAGCTGCAGCACCTCCACCTCCATTGAGACGCCGGGCCTGCTGGCCTGCCTCGGGGTCTGCGTACTCGTCCTGGGCTACACGCTGCTCGGCGCGTTCGCGTTCATGGCGCTGGAGGGCGGCCTCAAGACGGTGCGTACCCGTTTCAGCTTTCGGTACGCGATGCTGGGCTAGCGGGGCCATTTACTGTGCCGTTTGATCATCTCGATGAGCGTAACTTACTTTGTATTTATCGCGTACGACTCGTCGAATCTTTTTTATTTGAATTCAAGCAATTACCGATTTTCGTTAACATTAAACGCGTAAAAGATGGAAGCTCTTTAAATAGGACATAAATTGTTTCAATGTTTTAATCCCGAATTCGCGATCATTTCTACAATGCTTTCGGTAAAATGAATCGTTTTGAGCAAGATATTATAATATGTTGATTATATTGGTAAAATATATTGGGATTAGGAAAGAACAAAAGAGTAATCATTTATTTGAATTTGTGGTTTTAGTTTCGATTCTAGTAGCTTATTTACTGTGCACGGTAACTGAATCTATTTGTTCGCTTAATGCGTTTGTTTGCTGTGCTGCTTACTACGGTATAGGCCTACATAACCTCAAATCTCAAATCATCTGTGTCACACTTAAAGAGGAGAAACGTAAATATGAAATCTTGTTAAAGCAGTCGTCTCTAACGTGAACTTTTAAATGACTTATCATTATAATATATTAATATATAATTATAATATATTAATAATATATTACATTCTTTTTATAGGATATGAAATCTATGAAAGTATGTTATGTATTAAATTTTTATTGTTATAAATATATATAATACATTTATATAATATTTATTATTATAACTGAATCTATTTGTTCCTAACCTCAAATCTCAAATCATCTCTGTCACACTTTTAAAGAGGAGAAATGTAAATATGAAATCTTGTTAAAGCAGTCGTCTCTGATGTGAACTTTTAAATATTTATATAATAAAAATATTAATATATAATTATAATATATTAATAATATATTACGTTCTTTTGATAGAATATGAAATTTATGAAAGTATGTTATGTATTAAATTTTTATTGTGCACAGTTATCGAGGTGGAGGAGTTACAGTAACTGAAGCACAGTGTTCAGGGAGGATGCACAGTAACTGAGGCACACAGTAACTGGGGCGCATTAACTGATTTATACATATCATAGACAAACAATAACTGCATCCAGAACTATTTTTCTATCTCCCAAAATTCAAAGAGGATTTGATACTTGTATCATAGAAAAATTGATATCGACAAAAGAAATTTTGAAATTTACCTTTGAGCTCTTAAAAAATGTCATTTAAATTGCGAAAGCCTTGTTTAGTAGCGAAAATTCCTAAACACTGCTAAAAGGACACAGTAATTGGCTCTTCTACCCTAGAGGATCATGATGCGATTGTTAACCTCTTGTCGTACCCCCTACAATTCGGAAAAGTAGACTTCAATTTAATTTCCTTGTTCTCTTCCTTTTTTGGACATAGAGTCGTGGAGTCGGTTACTGTCAGGGTGACCAATTGCTGTGTGACGTTAGATTTATTTTCGAGCGTAATTAAATTGATATTTTTCGAATTATACATACCGAACCTTTTCATTCAGAAATAAATAAAATAAACGAATAAAAACATTTAACATGTTTTATTTTATAAATTGAATTATGCCCGAAAAGAAACCAAAGGCATAGCAATTGGTCCCTAATCATGGTACCCGACTCGACTACCCTACATATAGGGTGTCCCAAAAGTGATCGAATCAAATGAAATGAGTAATTCCTAGGGTCCACGAATTTTCATTAATAACTCGTTAGCGAAATTGCATTGGGCATTTCCGTTAAAGAAAAAGTGTAAACAATGAAAAACAGTGACCAATAAGAGGCGAGCTCGGCTGACGCGAGGCGGCCCAACCAACGAGCGCGCGAAGCTCGGTTCCGCTCATTGGCTCCGCCATCTCGCGCCAGCTGGTCTCGCCTCTCATTGGTCACCGTTTTTCGTTAATAACTCGTAAACAAAGCTGCGGATTGCATTTTCGCTAAGGAAAAAGTTACTTCAAATGACCCCAGGAACCTCCCATTTCCAGATTGCGAGACATTTTTGGGACATCCTGTATAATCCATTCAAGTAAACGTAGGCACACGATATAAAAATATCAATTCTCTTTTGCGATATTAACGCAACCCAAAATGTCAAGATCATTGTAACTGTGAAAATAATGGCAAGAGGTTGAGAAGCTACAAAGGAGCACCATCGAAAAATTTATCCATGAATATAATCGCAAGCATCCCCCGGACAAGAATTCGAGCGTCGTCGAGCTCAGTTCCGAACTTCGTCGCGATTATGCATGCAGCAGATCCTTAAACCAATTTGAAATTAATCCCCGTTGATCCAGGATTCATCGAGCGACCTGCTCGTTACCGGAGGCTCGAAGACCGAGGGAGGATCCTACGTGGTGCCCAGCGTCGAGGACGACACCGCCGCGATGGAGCTCAGGGCACGCACGGTCGAGAGGCTTTGGAGCATCACGGAGGATTTGAACGTACTCTACAAAGAGAATTGGACTCGGCTGGCGGCCAGAGAGGTGTTCGAGTTCCAAGAGAACTTGTCACGAGGTCTCAGACGGACTTCTTCCCAATATGAACCGGTCGGATCGAGATCCAGGGATCATCCCATGGATCGCAGGCCGCATCGACGATGGACCTTCAGCGGCAGTCTGCTCTACTCGCTCACGCTCATCACCACCATTGGTGAGAGCTGAGAACATTCGTCGTAGATATGTAGATTGATTGCGAGTCTAGATTTTAGAATGTAAGTAATAGCGTCTAGGTTCCAGAGTGTAAGTCGTAGAGCCTAGGTACTAGAGTGTAAGTCCCAGGGTTTACGACCTAGGATCTAAGTTTAAACATCAAGATTCCAAATTCTAGGTTCACAATTCCAGATTCTGAAGTTTAAGTTGTAAAGTGTAAGTCCAGAGTCTAGATGATGAAACCTCGGAAGTCTAAATTTTTAAACCTAGTTTGTGAAGTCTAGGTTCTAGAACTCAGATTCTGAAGACTAGATTCTAGAGTGTAAGTCTATGACCTAGTGTCTAAGTTTAGAAATCAAGATTCCAAATTCTAGGTTCTCAGTTCCAGATTCTAAAGTCTAAATTGTAAAGTGTAAGTCCAGAGTCTAGATGTTAAAATCTCGAAAGTCTAAATTTTTAAACCTAGTTTGTGAAGTCTAGGTTCTAGAACTCAGGTCCTGAAGCCTAGGTTGTAGAGTGTAAGTCCCAGAGTCTACGACCTAGGGTCTAAGTTTAAAAATCAAGATTCCAAATTCTAGTTTCTAAAGTCTAGGTTCTAGAACTCAGGTTCTGAAGTCTGGGTTCTAGAGTGTAAGTCATAGAGCCTAAATTCCAGAAAGTAGGTCCTAGAGTCCAGGTTCTAGAGTATTCAGATTCTAAACTGTAGGTCCTAGAGTCCAGTTTTTAGAGTGTAAGTTCTAGAGTCAACGACCTAAGGTCTAAGCTTAAAAATCAAGATTCCAAATTCTAGATTCTGAATTTCAGGATCTGATGTCTAAATTGTAAAGTGTAAGTCCAGAGTTCAGATGTTAAAATCTCAGTTCAAAAGTCTAAATTTTTAAACCTAGTTTCCAAAGTCTAGGTGTTAGAATTCAGGCTCTGAAGTCTAGGTTCTAGAGTGTAAGTCCCAATGTCTAGACTCTAGAATGTAAGTCCCAGATTCTAGGTCCTAGAGTGTAAATCCTACAGCTTAGGTTTCTAGAGTATAAGACCTAGAGTCATTTAAAAATCTAGATTCCAAATTCTGGATTCTCAAGTCCAGATTCTGGAGTCTTAAGTAGTAATACGTAAGTCCAGAATGTAGATGTTAAAACCTCGGTCCGAAATCCTACATTTTTAAACCTAGATACCAAAGTCTAGGTTCTAGAATCCAGGCTCTGTAGTCTAGATTCCAGAGTCCAAGTTCCAAAGGCTAGGTTTTGGAATTCAGGTTCTGAAGTCTAGGTTCTAGAGTGTAAGTCCTAATGTCTAGACTCTAGAATGTGAGTCCCAGATTCTAGGTCCTAGAGTGTAAATCCTGCAGTTTAGGTTTCTAGAGTATAAGACCTAGAGTCATTTAAAAATCTAGATTCCAAATTCTGGATTCTCAAGTCCAGATTCTGGAGTCTTAAGTAGTAATACGTAAGTCCAGAATGTAGATGTTAAAACCTCGGTCCGAAATCCTACATTTTTGAACCTAGGTAACAAAGCCTAGGTTCTAGAATCCAGGTTCTAGAATCCAGGTTCTAGATTCCAGAGTCCAAGTTCCAAAGTCTGGATTCTAGAATCTATATTAGCCAAGGCTTGTTCACAGTCTCGCCAACTGAAGGATCGAGTCATTTAGAGCCTCGTGGTACCTCACAGATTGTAGACTCTGGTAGAGTGATTACCACGTTGCACCAATGTTTTAGGATACGGCAGCGTGGTACCACGCACGATTTGGGGTCGCCTGATCACGATAGTGTACGCGCTGGCCGGGATTCCCCTGGTGCTGGTCTACTTGAGTACAGTAGGTGATGTCCTCTCGAGAAGCTTCCGCCGTATGTACGGCAGGCTCTGCAGGCCCCGGAACTGCACGCGGAAGCAACAACCGCCGCCACCTCCGCCACCCGTCGGTGGCATCATGAGCAAGACCTACAGATACGACAACCACGTTGACTCGAAGTCCGGCAATTATTATTCGGCCAGCAGGGAGAGTTCCTGCGACGATTTGGGGACGAGGGGCACCAGCAGCGCCATTCTGTTAGACTGCGGAAGCGAGGGACTACTCCATGCTACCACTAGCTCTACCGCCGCCCTTCAGGTACTTCAATGATCCCTTCACAGAAGGGAACACCTTCTGATCTGATGATGTACACCAAATCTGACTGATGTGCACCGATTTTAACGAAACTTCGTACAAGTGTTCAATAGACCTACCTAAAAATTTAGCCCCTTTCGTCCTTGCCCATCTTTTGCATTCAGGAAGAAATCTACCCTTTTATCCCAAGCGGTTCTTCTAGGTAAAGTAAGATTGATTTCTAAGTCGCAAATGACAAATGCTATCCAAAACAATGCTATGCAAAATGCTTCGTAAAATAATGGTTTTATTATTGGATAGTTTATTATATTATATATATTATATTGTATATTATATATTATATATATATTATTATTAATATATATATATATATATATATATATATATATATATATATATATTAATATATAATAT